AAAGATGGAGGACACTCAACTGAGGTTTTCCACATACCTAATGGCCAAAAAAAAAGAAAAAAGCATTCCAATAAAGATTATGGAATCTGAGCAAATAGCATGCTTCATCTTAACAACCAAAGAGCATTCCTACTGGATGGCTTCCCTCCTAAGCAAATCTGAGCAGATAGTATGCTTCATCTTAAAAACCAAATGTAACACGAATCCAACACTACTGGCAGTCCACAATAATGCAAAAGATTAGTTGTAAAAAGTTGATTCATAGTGAGATTGTTGCAAATACTAAAGATTATCATGTGTTGTGTTCAATTACAACATGGGATCCTAAGCAACAAAAATCAACAAGTGACAGATGTGCAATGCCATACATTAACTGCATTAGACTAGTATGAATCAATCATAAAATCTCAAAATTGTGTCCTCCCTCATACAAGCAAAGATGGAGTGTTTTCAGCCATGGGACATCCAAATGACCCCTCCGCAGACAATAAAACTAAATCCAAAGTCAATACCACTCTTGAAGGTGAAATATAGTTACCTTCAAGGATCTCCATTCAGAATCAGGCCATCTAGTTGATGTACTTTCCCCAACACCAACAATTGTTCCACTAAACCTGCACATATATTTTGATTAACATTTCTAAGTTCCCGATCCTAACAAATATTTGCCCAGTTACACAAAATACCTTCATTCTGGAACTACCTCGCCCTCAATCCTCATCCCAACAAAGAGCTTCTGGCTCTGGGCTTCAAGGTACTTGTTGACACTTACAATGAACTCAAATAGACTTGTTTTGCCACAAATAGTGCTAGAGTTCAGTAAAACCAATTTTTATCAACCAACTACAAAGCAAAAACAAATTTAGCAGAGAACTTATTTTGGATAGTCAATGCAATTAAAACCATTTTTCACAGGCCATATTTGTGGATGCAAGGGTGGGAACTTCAAGGACAAAGATATTGAACTTTCGTACAAGAAAATGTCATTAAATGCAAAAATCTAAATAAATAAACAAAAACAATCTGTGCATTGCACATATTATAAACTTTACTTCTGCAATTGGGAAATCCAAAACCCAGTAAACACTAAAATTTAACACTAGGCTTCTCAAAAAAGAAACTAGTGGAAAGCATACATCTATCCAAGAATAATACTAGATATGTTCATGTATTGATCATCCATTATTGGGTGCTCAATTATGCATAATGGTGTGATGTTTATATATTTTAGTTGGAGTTCTCGTTACTCTTTGATAAACTAATCATATGTTTCTGCTTTGTTTATTGGTGCTTACTGATTCCTTACATCAATGTCCCAAACTTACCTTCTCCATGTTTGGGATAAGGCGTGTTTCAGTGCTTCTTCATTAATGACTCTGCAATACAATAAAAGGAAAGAATCTCCAAATTAAAGTGAAAGAACCTAGATGTAAACTAAGTGCAAACAAGTAGGGAGTACAGTGCCATTCAGCAGAATTCTTTCCTACAATTAGGAAATAAACATAATAAAAATTATCTCAACTTGGAAAACAAACACAAAATCAACACTTTCCCCACATATGGGGTTCACTTGCACACACACAAAAAAAAAAAGAAAAAAAAAAGAAAAACAGGGTTCTGTCCATGCAAGGTGGTGTGTAAATAGAGGCTCCCTATTTTCTTATGTTCTAATAAGTCCTATGGATGACATAGTTACCAAAATACCCCCAATAATATTCACATTTACAGTGTGAATGTTCACACAAGTGATGTGAATGTTCACACCATCAATGTAAATGTTCACACTGTCAATGTGAACATTCACACGTCAATGTGAATACTCACATTGTAAAATATGAATGTTCACATCACCAAATTGCTAACCGTTCAAAAAATATTTGTAAAAGTAGAAATGTCCGTAAAATACTTTAAATATGAGAATTAGGAGTTGGTAGATCAAATGTCTAAATAATAGGACTTATTAGAATATAATAATATCTTATGTAATAATTGGAATACAAACAATTGAAAAAAGATTTTCTAATAAATCTCTCTTTTAAGAATGATACATTTAACACAAGTTAGACAATAATGCACAGATATCTCATTATTACATTTTAAGAAAAATGACACATTTAATAAAATTTTAATAAGACAATAATACATATATTAGAATGATGTCCTATTGTCATTTTTTAAAAATGACACAATTGGCAAAAGTTTAATAAAAAAAAAGTGCACAAATTTCTCATTGTCATATTTTAAGAAAAATGATGCGTTTGGCAAAAGTTTAATAAGATAATAATACACAAATTAAGCATATCCACAATTGGAATATGCAAGAAATATAATAAAAGGAACTCACAGTGTACCTTTTCAAAGTCAGTAGGACTAATTGTCTACAAGAAAATTCATGAAATTTTTTGATACATACATACTTTTCTATGATGGAATTTTTGGACAAATTTTAATCCTAGAAATTAAAGAAGTGAAGCACTAGTAAATCTCAAAATGTGATCTTGTGAACTGTTTAGCCCTCATTTTTTTTCATATAAACCCAAAGATCCCATTAAAGTATAAATTATATAAAAGGGTAGTCATTTACATGTTTGAGTTTAATTTTTGAGCAATAAAAATGGATTTCTTCAAATGTAAAATTACATATTTGATCAATCCACACTATAGAGATTTTGGATTTGTCCTCATTTTGGAACAAATCTCACATTACAAACAAAAACGTAACATTCTAATGTAACACACTAAAAAATTTCTTAGTATACTTTTTCCAAATGTAATAACGCAACACTCCAAAAAAAACTCCTTAAAACATTTTTCCCAAATGTAACACTTCAATCAATGTAACACGCTAAAAAAACTTATTAGTGTACTTTTTCCAACGTATCATTCTAATGTAACACGCAAAAAAATATTAAAAACTTCCTTAGTGTATTTTTCACAAACGTAACATTCTAATATAATATACGAAAAAACACAATCTAAACATAACACTTCAATCAATGTAACATACTAAAAGACTTCTTAGCGTAACGAACCCATTACTTACAAGGACCCTAACATCAAAAAACAAACACAAAAACAAACCAACAAAACCACCAATGTAACACACTACATATGCACCAAAAACCAAACACAGTGCATTCGGCCACAAACAGAGGCAACACATCATCGAATCCATTGATATACACAAAATTCCATATCACAAATAATAATCATAAAATTTCCCTACTCACCCACCATTCTCGACAACATAACACTAGCAACACAAAACAACCAATAACACCAAAACCAAACCGAAAAACCAAAAAACAATTAAAAATGAAAACACACCCACTTTGAGACAAGTCGAGAGCACCAAAAAGCAAACCTAGCTACTCCGATAGAAAATCACACGACCAAATACGATTTCCACCTCCCTCACAAAATAGAGTTTTCTCATGTTTGTCAAAAAAACCACATCAATCACCAAAAATAAACATCGTGAATCACTCCCCATAATCACTCAAAGAGAAAGAAAAATAAAAAATAAATAAATAAAATTTACACACATTACCATTCTCATAGCATACAAAATCATAATAGATAGCAACTAAATCAACCAAAAGGCTAAACGAATCAAATCAAATAAATACACCTTTCTAAATCAAACAGAACCATTCAATTCATAAGAAAACTTTTAGGAACAAATGGATCGACATTATCCCATATAGGATTTATGGGTAATTTTTTCAAATTAAAGACCATAATCTTAGGGAAATTCTATTTCCACACACCTAATTACCTCAGTGCACATATTTTCTCAGTGCACATACGTAGTAATTTGATTATTAATTTTTGTTCTCATTCCACACACCAATTATTCCAATCATACCCTTAACTCGTATCTTGTACACACACCACCTCAGCCCTCTTTCCACACACCTATTTAACGTTGTAGAGTAACAGTCTGCCTTATTTCGGTTCATAGTGAAGGAAACTCCATTGAAGACCCTCCTCCTCCATTTGACACTCTAGTTCCAAAATCTGTTGGAGTTAACTATTACTTTGTTTCGATTTCGTTATTGCATTTGGCACCATTTCATTTTCTCTGTCAAGTGCATTGACAAATTAGAATTGAAAATCCTAAGTAATTCGTGATTAGATCAAGATTTAATTACTCCAATTCCTAATCATTCAAAACACACAATCTAAATCATCAAGCACTTACAGAAGTGATTTAGATTATTGTTTTCGAAAAATAATAAATCGACGCAAACGATTTTTACGTGGAAAAACTACAATTGAGGCACCTTCAATTGTGATAAAAAAACCACGGGCAAAACGCCACTAATCAATCCACTACTGAAGAAAGAAAGATTACAAAGATAACAAACAAATTACCTAAACACTTCCAATTTGTTTTCAAATCTTCTGTATATCTTTCACCGCAACCTTCGTCTCAGAATTGATTAGACTGAAGTTGAATCCACAACTTCTATTGTCAAATCAATGACTACGCACAATATCAAACTCCTTTGAAACTCCACGCTTGAATCTTCGGATTCCACCGAAGAATAACACTCTTGAATATAATCAATGATCATAAGCTACATGAGAATGTACAACTCAGAAACCAACATGAGAGCTCACAAAATGAAAGTGTGTGTGTGCTATCCTTGAGAGGCCACAGAGCTAGAGTTAATCCTCGTAGTGATCGGATGGCTGGACCTTCAGCAAGAGTAACTAAACATCACAGAGAAAAGTCAAACCACTAGGAATCACGGGGTATTTTTTGAGTAAATGCGGAGGCTCCCTCTCAATCAATGAGCCCCTTATTATTATTATTATTATTATTATTATTATTATTATTATTATTATTATTATTATTATTAAATATGGTAAAGCATTGAAGAATATTGAGCTTTTTTTAGGATAAGTAAAAGACGAAGTATTGAGATTCAAAGAAGTTTTCTAAGGTTCCTATGTTGTAGCAGCAAAAAATTTACATAGGTCAAGATATCACGTTCGACACAGTACAAAATAAAAATTAAATAAATGAAAACGTAAAGGAAGAAATATTCCAAGTTTGACAAGGTGGTAGAATTCAACTCTCAAGTTTGTTTGGCATCAAACCCTATGTTCCACCAAAAGACTCCTGACAATTTTCACTTTTCTCCTGTTTGGTGATAAAAGATGAAAATATAAATTAACTACGATAAACATTGGCATTTCACATGCTCCAAAGGTTAAGGAAATGTATAGAAAATTCATAGTAACACGAACCACTGGAAGAAGAACCCGATTCACTACTTGAACTACCGCATTTACTGTTTCTAAGGGCTGTATCTTTTTCAATCTCTACTGGAGGGTAGCTTGTGATAGGAGGATCATTCCCACCAATGTCAACATCCTCGTCAACAGGATCATTGCCTGAAAATAAATGAGAAAAGGTTTTAAATAAACAATTTTAAACTCAAGCCTTAGGTGACAAATATGTTCATCAGTTCAACAATTGGCCTAAGTAGCAGCAAGTGGGATAGAAAATTACCTTTGCATGGTTGCCCTGATGAATTGCTGAAACCTGAGTGATTAAGAAGCTGCAGCAAAAGGGGGGGAAAGCAACACAGTCTGAGTTCCACTTATTTTACAAGGAAGATGTTAACACGCTCAACAACACTCACACATGAGAGAGAGAGAGAGAGAGACCTCCATTTCACAAGGTTCAGCTCTTCCCTGCTTTTTCTGTTTATCCAGCAAATAGTCATCTACAAGCTTCCGCAATGTTAACAAAGTATCATCACTTAGAGCATCAATATCAATCTCAATCTCATCTTCATCAATTTGACTTGCATTATAACTTTGCCTTTTTAGGAAGTCAATAATGCTTTCAGGCAATTCTGCTAATAGAGCCTCCAATTCTGTGCTAAGTTTATGCTTCTCTTCATTGGTAATGACACGCTTCACAGATTCTTGTTTGACCTTATTGTCTACTGGTGTGATTTTCTTCTTTTTAGAGGGAGGCATTGGTTTAGGAGTTACAGTTTCTATACAAACACTTGATGTTGAAAGTACCGGTGCATCAATGGTAACAGGAACCTTCTTCTCAATCGATTTCCATCTCACTTCAAAATATTTACTGAGTGTCTCAGCCATGAAATGGACATGATTTCCAGGTGGGTTGTAGGTCATGGCATTTGAGAAAGTGAGCCTCACATCTGCAGCAAATCCCAGTAGACTCGAATACTCACCTGGTAATAACTTACTTTTCACTGTCCCCAAGTCCATGGGGTGCTTTATAACATTGAAGTAATCTGGAATATTCAACTTAACTACATCAACAGGAGTGTTGAAAACCCACCCATACTGATGTGACATCAACCGATTCAGTAAGGTCTCGCACTGTTTCATCAACATAGCATTTGAAGTATGGAAAACTCAAGACCAAACTTAGACACAAGATTTTTCGCATACTTAGACTGAGACACAAATATACCTGAAGGAGACTGTTTAATCTGAAGACCCAAAAAATAAGACAACTCTCCCATCATGCTCATCTCAAACTCATGTGTCATGCAATCCGAAAATATTTTACAAGATGATCAGCAGTGGATCCAAACACAATATCATCGACATAGATCTAAACAACAAGAATATGAGACTTAGTATGTTTCACAAATAAAGTCTTATCCACACTACCTGTTTCAAAGTCATTATCAAGAAAAAAGGTAGTAAGTCTATCATACCAAGCCCGAGGGGCTTGTTTCAACCCATACAAAGCCTTGTCTAACTTATAGACATGGTTTGGACATTTAGGGTTCTCAAACCCTTTTGGTTGCTCAACATAAGTCTTTTCTTTCAAGTACCCATTTAGAAAGACATTGTTCACATCCATTTGAAACAATTTAAAACCAAGAAAGCAATGCAACACCAAGTAAAATACAAATAGATTCGAGATGTGCAACCGAGGCAAACGTCTCATTATAGTCAACACCCTCTACTTGTGTGTAGCCTTGAGCAACTAACCTGGCTTTATTTCTAACTACAGTACCATTCTCATCAGGTTTATTTTTAAAGATCCACTTGGTACCTATCACATTCATGTCTCTAGGTCTGGGAACTAGAGTCCAAACATTGTTGCGTTCAAATTGACCTAATTCTTCATGTGTAGCATTAACCCAACTATCATCTAGTAAGGCCTCTTTAGTATTCTTAGGTTGAATTAATGAAACATAACACATATCAGATACCTCATCCTGAATTTGTCTTCGGGTTTTCATTCGATCCAATACACTTCCAATCACCTATTGAGCTAAATGATTCAGTTTCACCCTTGCTGATGGTTTGAACTCAAGACTTGTGGTGACAGAAGCATCAGAAGTGGTGTCTCTCTGTGCACTCTTTGGACTCTGACTTACCTAAGAAGATGGTGCTATCTCAACTTCTTGTGCTTGGACCTCAGCTTCTCTTTGACTTTGTGGTTCAGTATCCAAGATTGGAGACTCCTCATTTGTCGCTGGAGTAGGGAAACCTGTGTCATCTATAACCACATTGATCGATTCCATTAAAGAAGAAGTTCGCAAGTTATAGACCTGAAAAGCCCTACTAGTGGTTGAATACCCTAGAAAAATACCTTCATCACTTCGGGAGTCAAATTTGCGCAAAGGCTTTCTATCTTTGAAAACGTAACACTTACTCCCAAAAGTTTTGAAGTATTTTACATTAGGTTTCAATCCCTTCCACAATTCATATGGAGTTTGTAAAGTGTCGGGCCTTAAATACACGTGATTTATAACCTAAACAACAGTATTTAGGGCTTCAACCCAAAACTTTAGAGGAAGTTTCTTACTAAGGAGCATGACCCTAGCCATCTCTTGAACCACCCTGTTCTTCCTCTCAACCACTCCATTTTGTTATGGAGTAATTGTAACGCCCCAACTTCTGGGCCGTTAATAAATCAAACCAACCTCAAATGTATAATTGTAGATAACTCATAATTTCAAATGTACAAATCGTCTCCATAAATAATTAACTCAAATGTCTCCAAAACATAAATTATACAAATCTCCAAAAATAATATATAGTTGTGGACTAAAAAAATCTCCAACTCAAATAATCTCTTTACATGCTTCAACTCCAATCGCCACTAAATTTGCTCTACACCTGAAAAATAAATTAATTCGGGAAGTATACAATACAACAGGAATAACAAGGTTCAGACATAAAATAAATCAACAGGGATCCAACAATTACACAACCGATTAGATTCAATAATCAAGCAATTTACCAAATTACACAAACAAGTCAACTTGACGTATGATAATTTATCCGTAACCAAATACCCGGTCCTACTCAGTACATGACCAGTGACCGGCCTCACCCACCTCACCCAAGTACAACCGCTTATCCGAGCTATTGGTCAAGGCTATTGGCAAGGTCTACTCGATCCATGTACGGAGCATTTCTAAGTCATTTAGCCAGACAAATCAACACTGACTACACAAAACAACTTCATAAAATTGATCAAATGACTAGAGTACTCAAACATATCAGCAAGAATGATTTCACAGAGTTTAACATATGACTATGATAATCAAGAGGAGAGGAGTACAAATGTAAAGTAATTAAGATAAAAACTCTTTGTAAAGAGATTTAAATGAAGCATATTGTATACCACCCGAATTACCTCTAATCAATCTCCTCCGTCACCAATACTCAAATCTCAATATTTCTCCATGGATTTCCAAAGTTTAAGGCATAAGATATGTAAGGTTTCACAAAATCTACAACTCTTCTCCTTTATGAAAATGCTTACTCTCACTTTAAATATTCTTAATCTAAACTCTAAATCTATATAACAAATGGAGACAGATATGGGAAGAACCATAGAAGAAGTTGAGATGTGAGCTCAATTTATAGACAAGGATACTTAGGACAAAAGAAAAGAAAGACTTGGGGCCAAAGAAAGGAACTTTACTTGGTGGGAAAGAAACGGATGTACTTGGAGAACAAGAAAAGAAACTTCTTTGGAGACAAAGTGTAGACCGCCCGAAACTCGCTACGCCCGCAAGGGCGCGAATTGGGTTCATAGCTACTACAGTTCGGACTCCTGTCACGGTTCTGAATCTAATCCCACAAAGTACAATGTAAGACTGATAAATCACCAAAAAGTCCAAATCCGGAAAATCGTTTTGGAAAATCGATTTTAATCAAAAAAGCGCCATACATGGACTGCTTTGCTAGATTTCAGAGTTGCCACCTAAATATTTTATTTTGGGAAATTTATGAAACCCTGACTCGTGCCTATGGCCACGTGTCTGTCATCACCAAAGCTACCTCGGCCCGGGAACTTGGGTACGAGAGAGGAAGGTCCTGAAATGAGCACCCCTGCTCGCCCGATCAAAGATCGACCTCTACTAACATGACATGTTGTTTTTGAAAACACATGTATTCTTATTCAGGTTATTAATCTAACTTACTATGTGATGCGCATAGCATACAAGTATAGACTCAATCATGCGGATTGGAACAAAACAACTCATGTTTTTTTTTAAAATGGTTTGAAAGTGCTATTCGCAAGTAGGCTAAAGCGCGGATTTGCCACCCTCAAGTGGGCTTAGAAAAACATGATTTTGCCACTTCAAGTGGGCTTAAAACTCACAATCATCGAGTTGTTCCAATTCAGGCAATCAAGCCTTCACCCACAGGCATTCATGTAGTTATATCGGGTATGTTTGGTTTGTGTTTGAGAGATGTGTTTTAGAGATAAAAAGTACAAAAAGTTGTTTGGTTTGGTTTTTTTCAAAAGATGTTTTGGAAAATTATTTTGAGAGAGAGTTTTGGAAAAAGTGATTGATTTGATGTGTGTGAGAGAGAGATTTGTTTGGAAAACTTGTTTGGTTTACAAGTTTTGAGAAATTTTTTTGGGAAAATTTGTTTGGTTTGATTACTTTTAAAAACTTATTTGTAGAGAAAATTTCTCAAATTTTTTTCAGAAATACAAACCAAACGAACCCATCATTTAAGCAAATAGCCTCATGGCAAGCATGCTATCATGTCAACACTTACACACATGCAAGATGCTAAAGCATAAACACTCACAGTGTACTCTGAGCCAACACAAAAGCTAGTTAGTAATCATGCATGATCCTAGCCATGTTAAGATGCCTAATGCAACACATGAAAAATGCAACTAAGTAGGCTTGGCTATTCTAAGACGGCATATGAATGCAACATTTGATAACATGCTTTGAAACACGTATTCAAGTAAGTATTGAAATTCAATGCAGTTTGAATGATGTGCCGAGCCCGGTGCATGCAATACGAATGAATGATGCACGCATGCAAAGCATAAGTATGTGTAAACACCCCATTTTTGACCGACCTTAAGACTCAGACGTTACCGATTGAGCGCTTGGTGATGTTGCATATCGTGCTCGTTCAGAGGTTTCAGAGTCTCGGCTACGAGCCTTGCCTCCAGACTTCTGGGCTCTTTCGTGCTTTGCCTCGGTTTGCGAACCAGGTTCTGTTTTCTCTGTTTTCTCTTCCCGAGGGAAGGGAGAGATCTCGAAGACTATCTCTCAGTGGCCGTTGGCTATGTTTCATGGTCATAGGCTATTTTTCCCATTTGGAGTCCAGTTTCCGATTTTTCGGAGCCATTGGCCATGTGCCTCGGTTCGGGACCGCTTAACCACCTCCGTTTGCTCCGGTTTTTGGCATGCATATTATTTGCTCCCTTTTGAGGGACACTGTAGCTCGAGAGACCAACTTCGTGGTCGAACACCACTTCCGGTGCCTAACAGTCAGCTTTCGGGGCCTCGGGCTGCGCGTTTCGGCCCCCGAACCTTCATTTTGCATCGGTTTGGGTTCATTTTTGGCAGGAACCTCTGTTTCATTGTTAGGAAGGTCATAGAAGGGTGGGAGGCCAGTAATTGTTCTGACAACCAGTTTTATTCCTCCATCGCCCTCCGTCGCCTGTTTTTCCCACTTAAAAGCCAATGTTGACCACCCTGAGGTCACTTTTTCTTGCCCCAAACCACATATTTGTGTTGTACACACATGGGAGGCCACCAATATCATATGGCCGGCCAGTAATTCCACACCTGGGAGGCCACCAATATCACATGGCCGGCCAGTAATTGTGTGTGACCCTTTTGAACCCCTC